CTTTCATTGAGAAGTCGTATGAGCCCGACTCAGAAGACGAAGACGGCGGTGCAGATGAAGTCAAGACAGTCAAGACAGAGGTGAAGCAGGAGGATGAGGCAGAGTCGAAGCTGCCGAAGCCCACCCAGGAGCTCATGCAGTTAATCTTCAACCAGCAGTATTTCGCAAATGCGATGACAGACCTCAACTATGACTCAGCTAAGCTACCACTTGGCAAACTGAGCAAGACGACAATCACTCGAGGCTTTCAGGCCTTGAAAGACTTATCAGCTCTGTTAGATGACCCATCCCTCGCGAGTTCCCAGTATGGAACTAGCTTCCCCCAGGCAACGGAGCAACTATCGAACCTCTTCTTCACTATCATCCCTCATGCCTTTGGTCGTAACCGACCACCCATCATTCGGACCCAAAACTTGCTCAAGAAAGAAATAGAACTTCTGGAGAGCTTGGGCGACATGAAAGACGCGGCACTATTGATGAAGACCGACAAGAAAGAAGAGATTAATGAGCTTGACCGTCAATTCCGAGGACTTGGCTTGAATGAGAGTAAGTCCATCTCCGGTCTACTGACTGAACACTACCAGATGATACTGTTGCTACCAATATCTCCAATCACATCCGCCATCGAAGAGGTTAATCGTCTTTTTGCTAACGTATGAGCCAGTGACACCATTAAGCAACACAAGCGAAGAGTTCCTACACTTGAAAGACTATTTAATGGACACACGAGGGTCAACTCATAACGCCAATTACCAAATAGCACAGATCTTTAGAATCGAGCGATACGGTGAATTCGAACAATTTGATTCATCGCACAAAGTCCCTCGTGATAGACGTCTTTTGTGGCATGGTTCACGTTGTACAAATTTTGGCGGTATCTTGAGTCAAGGACTTCGGATTGCGCCGCCAGAGGCCCCAGTTTCAGGATATGGTACGTGTGTAATACCTTATCAGATATCCTTAACTGGTCTCTTTTGCAACGGTGCTGTTCAAAGCTAATTCTTCTCCTCTAGTACGTGCAATTTTTTCGTCTCTTATTTCGGATGAACGAAGCTTCGTCCTAAGACTTCTTGCTCAGCTTAGCAAGTCATTCGCTGTCAAACCCACATACTAACCTCTTTTAGATGTTTGGAAAGGGAATATATTTGGCGGACATGTCCTCAAAGGCAAGAATCTTCAACTTCATAACCGAAAATGAGGGAGTAGGCTAATAACCCATCTAGTCTGCTAACTACTGCTGCCCATACATCTCCAACGGGCACGCGCTGCTGCTTCTATGTGAAGCGGAGCTAGGTGATCCTATGCAAACTTTGACAAATGCCTCATACAAGGCCGCCGAAGATGCCAAAGCAAGTGGCATGCTGTCTACCTGGGGTCAAGGTATGACTGGCCCAAGCAAGTGGAAGGATGCAGGATGTGTCCACCCTTCCCTCAAAGGCGTCAAAAGTAAGCAAACCCACCACTTCCAATCTTGGCTCATCAGTATGTTGGGAATACTAGGAAGATTTAAACGTCAAGTCCTACTAATATTGTGGTCGGTGAAATGAACGACATGAAAATGCTATGTCATACCTGTCGTTACCGTCACACGGTCACCTTTCAAGCCACTTGCTCAGGCTACTAACTTGAGATGTTGTAGTGCCCGATACAACTATGAAGCCTGATCTGACAGGCGTTCCAAATGCATACCTGCAATACAACGAGTACATCTGTTATGACACCTCTCAGGTACGACTACGATATCTCCTGCGAGTCAGAATGTAGGACCTTCTGCCTCACTAGTTGCCGAGCCTACCTCGATACTACACCAAGATCTTCGTATCCCATCTTGTCTTTCCAACCCGTCATGTTATTATCGCGGTTGCCAGCAGCGCTCTTCTATCTTAAGCAGTTTTCATCCTTTATCTTCTCGTGAGTGCAAACTAGGAAGCAGGAGCAAATCTTCGCCACGTAAGACACCAGGTCGCCATTTATTGTCGAGATGACGTCGCGAGCAGCTCCTCAGGGGCAGGGCCGTGTGGATTCGTCTCTGATACGCAGATTTATGCATTATTAAGTTGCTTGTCTTCTCGATGCTATACGGTGTGGCCCAATAGATGAAGTTTAGTTAATATACGATATTTACCTTAGAGCATTGACATCAGGGCGCCCTCCGGCCCGAAACAGTTATGATTCTGACTGATCATAGAACCCTGATGGCCCAATACCTAGGTACTCGTGGACCTATCTACTAATACTGGATACTCCATTTCACAGTACAACCAATCCCCGGCCACAGCCCATTCCAATTGTAACAGATTCAACTGTGTATTTCAGTTAATTGAAATGTAGCCAGTTACACTACAATCGACTTAGTAGTCGTCTTGCGATCAATCATATTTGAGCAATTGCAACAGGGCAGCCCCAACACTTGCGTCAACACACTTCTGCTTGTTTACGTTTGCCCGCAAAGACTGTATAGTCGTAGGCGCTGCGTACAGCTTGTAGTTTGTATGGTAACGAAGGTACTCGGAATCGTTCGATAGAGAGTATGGCCGTCGACTCAAGTCTTTCAGCCAGAACGGCGGCCCTTGGGTTCGTGCCATGCCAGGTCCAGTCACAGTACTTCTTGACGCGTGTATTCCCGTAGGGAATCGATGTATTGTGACTTCGTTGTACGTGAACTGAGCCGAGTAGTCGATAATCGAAGAATTGCTGTTTCGAGTAGTGTGGGAAGTGAGCCGAATCGTATGATGGTTTGTAATTATAGCGAACTGCTCAACAGCCGTAGCTTGGTCTGCATATTAGTGTCAGTCATTACCACAAAAGAAATCGAAATTGATGGCTGTATGGGATTTTTGCAAGGGCATTCAATTGCAAAACAGCTCATTAATTGCATTGTGATGCGGTCAATCATCAATCAGTGCATCCAATTGCAGTACAGTTGATAAGGCATTGTGCAAAGCAGTAAGCAAGTCATAGTATTGTAGTTCAAGTTCAGTGCTACAACCGCAATAGTAACTTGACCAATTGAAACACAGTGCAGAGTTGTAGTTGAGGAATTGTCACGATGGTAGCTTTGTTTAGGGGTGGGATGCGCATATAGAAACGCTCTGATTGAAAGACAGGAATTGGGTGCACTGCTATCAGCCCTATTACCTTGAGTGGTTGCATACACATATCGTGAGGAAAAGACCTTAAAGTTACGGTGTAGTGATGACTGAGCCTTCGTGGTAGTACGAAATTAGCGGCAGACGACATTAGGAAACTCCATTATTTCATTCATCGACACTGTTCTAGACCGTATTATCCGAAGATTCCAACAGTCTTCAACCTCAAGACAGGCCCCAATTTACGCTTCAAGGAGCTTAAATTATGAATTTTTCCTCCTCAAGTTATACCACATGGCGTCGAGTCGGCTTTAAGAGCGAGGGCAACAAACATCGGGGTTTGGGCAAGGCGTCGGGTTCGATTTCCACTCGTTCTCGGAAACTTTGCCGTGGTCGCTCACAAACCAGCCCGTGAATCCCGAAGCACCACGCTTGTGCTCGTGAAAGCATGGCTCACAGTCTCGGATTCCTTCGCTCTCGCTCGTAAACTGTCTGCTCTTCTTCTTTTGATCCATATTGCTGTTAGGAGTCTCGTCTTCCTCTCTGTTGCAGCAGCTCCAGACCATGACTTTGTTTCCATTAATACCGAGAAAGTCGTGGTCTCCATAGACTTGGTGATCCCGATTTCCTTGGAGTACCATCTCCTGTTCGTCGCGGAGGTTTCCTGTGTGCTCTATAATACATTTAGCTGATGCTCGTTGCACGGGTTTTGGGGGGAGGATTGATTGCGGTTGGCTTACTCTAGCAGACCCAGGGGTTGACATTGTCCGCTTGATTCACAACTTTTTTGCAATGAATGCAAGTAAACACTTCCGGGTTGGTGGAGGGGCTCGGGACAGTTCGGCCTCCATGGAGGGCCTGGATGGCCTGATTGAGCTGGTCTCGACGAGTCTGTCTCTCTAATTCCCGTTGTCTGTGTGCATGCAGGTCGTTTTCAAGCTCGGAGGATTCCATGCCTTGCTCGTCTCTGTTCCCGGCATTGCCGCTCTGGATAGATGTCCCAGCTTCGTGAGACTCATTATTTCCCATGATCGCGTGGTCGATGAGGATGGGATGAATGCAGAACTAAGAGTAGACGAAGAGCAGAAGTATTTGGATGCAGTTGATGATAGTACAATTCCAACCAACAAGTGGCAAAAAATAGTAGTTGTGCACTGAAGGCCCAACAGATTGTTGCGTGGAATGTGGGCGTGGGGAGAAGAGGCGAGAATTGAAGGGCAAGCTTAAATTTCTCAATTTAAGCTGCAGTTTCTGTGTGTGTGATTACAAAATGGGGCAAGATACCTAGGTACCTGACAGTATCTACTGATTGTAGCAGAAACTGTGGCAAATTTCTCTCAGGAATAGTTGTTGAAATCAACATCGAATAATCAAGTTAACCTCAGTTTATACGATCAGCTATCTTGTGTATTCTAGGAGCATTACGCGCCCCCACATCGCCAACCTATCTTTGCTGAATGATTTCAGGTATTCTTGTCTAACTAACTTTAGCAGAGTAACAATATAGTGGTGTAGATCACCTACAAGTTTACCCTGTTAACCTCTCTTTTTCATCTTAGTAGTTAGTCTCTATCTAGATTACTGTGAGATCACGGGGTTAAATTATGAACACCAGCCAGCTAGCTATGTAGAGAGTTAAGTCAAGCTTGAGATTACTTGAAATACATTCAAGAATAATCAGAAGTAAACATTATCTTACATACACCTCCAGGCTAGTTAAACTATTCCTGTAATAAAACTATAAAAAGAAAACCCCCCCCCCTTAAAAATTTCAAGCTTATTATATATATAACACATATAAAATAAATTAATATTAACAATATTAAAAAACATATATTTACTTATAATATAAAATAACTATAAGGTAAACTATATTATCTATACATAATTAAAAAACTTGAAAGAAAAAAAAACCCAGACCTGGAATCGAACCAGGGTTTCTTGCGCAAGCCTCTTAGACTCACACCGAAGACGCTAGTATATCTCTGCGCAAGTGTGTTACCATTACACCAGCTGGGGTTGTTTGTTGTTGAAACAGAAGCATGGTATTCTAATAGATAAGGCACCCTCTGCCTACCTGTTTCTCTTAATTCAAGCCACACCACACCACACTGTCTCCTGTGTGCCTTTTGGAGCACAGAGCACTTGCTGCACCAACATTAGACTCTCTAGTCCAGACTCCAAGGAATTGAAAGAGGAACTGGAAATAGAGTCACCTATACCGCTAATATAGCAGGCTACACTTTTCTAACAATTCGAATTCATACATTTGTATTATTAATCCCATTTTTCTCTTAATAACGCGTAATGTCGCTTACAGTAGCTCCCGATCACTGTAGACCACGCCGCCCAAACATACACGTACGCGCGCAAGCGCACCAGTAAAGACTAGGAAACAGACCGGGAAAGACTCGGAGTATAGAAAATGAGGCACGTTGTTCTTTAAAAAGTGGACGCGGGCTATATATACAGTTAGCTTTAGAGGTTTAAGATAGTATATGCTTGTACATAGATAAGTAGCATGTTACGTCTTATGCCCTTTAGGAAGCTTGAGCGGCTGCAACGCAGTACGCTCGCATGACGTTAAACAAAATCAATCAATCAATCAATCAACCACACCACACTGTAGCAACATGAAATATACAAAACATTAACCCAGACCTGGAGTTGAACCAGAATTTCTTGCGCAAGCCCTTTGGACCCACACCGAAGATGCCAGTATCTCTCTGCGCAAGTGTGTTACCATTACACCAGCCGGGTTTATTTGTTGTTGAAACAGGACCTGTCATTTTAATAAATAAGGTACCCTTTGCCCACCTATTGTTCTTAATTAAAGTCTTACTACACATCTCCATTTCCATTACTAAACAAGGCAGCAATTAACCCAGTCTCCAATCGAAATCAAGCTCTAACCTATAACACGACAACAATATTCTAACCAAGACATAAAAAACCCCCAGACTTAGGTTCGAACCAAGGTCTCTTGTGAAGCAAGCCCAAAGCGGATTCATAAGCAGCAGCAACAGCCCTGGCTGCCGGTGTCACTGGTTATCAGTATTTTATCATAACGCCATCTAATTTTGTTTGTTTTTGAAGTAGGAGCGCGTTATTGTGGTAGTCAAAGTACCTACCCTCTGCTCATTGTTGTCGATTCCAGCCCCACCCACACTCACCGCACGTAACCATAGAAAAAGATAACCCAGGCTTGGATTCGAACCAAGGTCTCTCGAAGCAATCATCGAGGGACTAACAACCCGCTCAATCAAGACGCTAAGAAAGCCAACTCTATGCCACGAGTGTGTTACCACTACACGAACTGGATTTGTTTTATTGTTAAAACAGGAGCGTGTTATTTTGACATATAAGGCACCCTCTGCTACTGTTGTCAGTGTGATCCCCACTATACGCGTTTGTATTCAGGTACGTTACCTTAGTAGCAAACAAACAATAAGGTACCTACTGGGGCCGCAAAGACCCTTTCCCTTCGTGTTCCTAGTAGTCCCTCCCATGGAGCATTTCTTTCCCTTAGAATCACGAGATGTTTTAGAATACATATTTAAAGATGTTGCTTTGCGAGAAGTCAAAGGTAATAGACAACCGCAATTTGCTCTGGGCTGCATCTTGGGATTTTGCAACTAACTACTAGGTACCTGTTTTGGAGTACTCAAATTTTAGACTGCCTAACCTAGGTACATTGTATCTAGTAGTGAAGCCAATCGTAGTAGCGTTCACCTTAGTGAACTGGGCAAAACTGATAGATTAGGATGTCTCTCACTTTGATTTAGCATACACTGCCCGTTGACGAAGAATTGGAACTTGTTGTAACCAGCTAGCCATTCATCCCAAGCCCATGTCGAGGCATGAGTGAGGACCCTATTACTAGGCTGTGTAATGTGTTAAGCATATGCACACTATCCTAGAGTTTACTGCTATTTCAGCCTAGTCGCAAGAATTTTATGTTTGAATTGAGCTGGTTAGGATGATATCATGGAAGCTAGTAATGACAGCACGACTACTTTTCTGCAGACTTCATAAGGTAGAGATAGATTAGGTCCCTAGCACTACAAGTTAATGTTACTCTATTTGGCATTCACTTAGATTTGGCCGTCGCGCAGTCTTTCATTCCTTTACTTTCGGACCACATTTCTACGCTAGACAACTTCTCGAGTGGGGCAATAAACAACCATAAAGCGTTGCTAACTATACAAACAGTGGGAGAATCCATTTTGGACAATCTAGTGATTACTGTGTTGTGATATTCCTTGAACCTGTTGAAGGGCTGATGCCCCAGGCAGCAGCTCTAGGGGGGCAGTTAGCCCACATCCACTACCATCGCCCCCACACAACAACTAAGTTTGCTGGGGACAAGCTAAAACATCTATTGAGCCACCACATTGCAACATTTATAACTGCAGCACCCAAGACAACTTCGATGACACAGTCACTCTATTGCATCACCTCCTTTGCACAGCTACCTTTACCGCTTTCAGTCCGACGCAAAACAATAATCGCTCTACCTGATCCGAACACCACCTTCTCAAACACAGCTTCACATAAAAGGTACGTGCACAACCGTATTCTTCCGTGTTTCCTAGATGCCGTGTGTTCTACCATTAATCAACTTCAAGTTGCGGTGATCATCTCCAAACCATACTCGCAACCAGTTCCGCAGCCAAGCCAACGATTTGCATCCTCTCACATCACCATATCCTTCACTTATCAAATCAAGTTGCAAGGCTCAAGGTCTCAAAACTAATACCGAGTTGCGAAGTGAGTCACCCTCAATATTCACTGTTAATATTTGTTTGTTCTCTAGGCTAACCCTAAAATTCCAGCTTCAGCGAGGCCACCGTTCGGGTATCACTTCTTACAATACAATACAAAGCGCAACGCCATCTCAACAATGTCGGAGCTTCCAGTCACCAGGCCGAAGGCTCCATCTCTCGGCTTTCCCCGGTTCGCCGACCTTCCGGTGGAACTACGTCTCATCGTTTGGGAAATGGCCATGGAAGAGCCGCGAATCATTCATATCTCTGACCATCCCCTTGAACCTATGCCACGCAGGCTCACGATCGACGGCGTGCTATTCAACCAAGTACCCGAGTTCTTCTTCGTCAACCAAGAATGTCGCCAGGTCGCATTAAAGCAGTACACAGCAGTGGCGGCTAGGTTTAAGACGTACCGATTCCCGAACTTTATTGTGAGACAGAACCTCGCGGAGAAGGACGCACGTGAGATGTACCAAATATATAAGTATGACGTCTTAGAAGTCAACTGGCACCTGAAAAGTAACGATATATTCGCCTACCACGATGTCGGGAACACGAGTGTAGTTCCTTTTACCTTCCCTCGACTCTTGGCTACTACGGAGCCGTTAGCTGTTGCCTTCCCTCAACACCCCTCGGCTAGGAAGCCGTTCATGGCTATCCAGAACTATATGTTCGTCACCGGGCTCAGACACATCACAGGAATAGACTCGTGGGTTGAGCAGTGGGTGAAGCGGTTACGAAGGGACAAAATCAAATGGTACCTTTACATTGCATGCGCATATAAGGAATCCGCAGTCTCGTCTCAAGGTGTTGTTGTGCGGGACGAGGGGGACCCGTCCAATTTCACCCTCCAGGATCTGACATTTGTTCCTGGAGATCCTAAGCACGAATGTGACCACCACTCGTCCGATAGTCCTTCTGCTTGGGAAGTCGAGCTATTCAAATTATGGGCTGAGGATCCCTGGGAAGTCGAACTATTCAAGATAGGGGGCTCGAGGGTTAGCTACTCACAACATGACGAATATCTCGACTTATTCGAAAGTACTGACTTTGATGAGTATGTTAACTAAGCAAACGGATATTTGCCACATATAACATGCGGGGAGCTCTGACTACTGGTCAACAACGTCACAGGCCGCCCTAGCTTTAGTTGCGACGTCGTTATGTACCTCATAGCTTGCGCGTTCTTCTCCGAGCAGCCAGGCTCTCAAATATTGGCGTCCATAGCGGCACTATTAGGGTATATAGTGGAAAAGGGTCAGTCAGATGCGGCAAGGGTTACCAGATGAGGGAGGAGTGAAGCTGGTGGTCATCTGAAAATGCAACGTTGCTAGTCAAGTTTCCGATGAATAGCAACAGAATCCTAAATCACTTCGGAGAGGTCTTGCTGAACCCATTCTTCCTAGTCGTGTTCTGGGGGGTGGGGAGTTTACACCGTAAAGTGGGCTTTGACCCCATGGCCTGGTGTTCAACGAGGCGACATCGGTAAACTTGTCCACGCTTCTGCTTGCCAATGGCACAAGCAAGGAAAAACAGGGTCAGGATTTGACATGAAAAGACGAAAAAGTCAAGACTGCGGGCCTTTTCCTATACCGAGAATAGTTGCAGTCTTCATTTTCATATTCTTACTGAACCATCAATGAAATGGCACACAATTTGCAATCTTTTATCAAAGCCATGTACATAATGTGATGTGCTAAACAATGCTCAGTCCGCTCACCATTTATCCGTAAACGCCATAAGGTAAACATTCTTGAAACAAAGCTCCCTGACCTTTCCAAGTACAATGGTTGCCCAGTAGAAACTCTCATGAACGCCAAGTTATCATGCAAGTTAACGCTCTATTTGAGGAATGGGGCGATGCGGAAATGATGATTTACCGCCTCGCATCCGTACGCCGAAAAATAGTTCATGAGTCGTGTGTCAGATTCGCCGTATTGTTATCGACCTCCTTGTCCCAACCGTCGCTTCCGCTCCTCTTTCTCCCTTTTTAGTTTTTCTTCCAGAGCTTTTTCGCGCTTGTCTTCTTCAATAGCAGCTAATTCTGCTCTTCTCTCCTCCGTGTCAATATCCGACAATCCGGCTTCCATATCACTGGACCCTTCAGAGTCATAGTCATACTGACGGCCTCGAGGGTCTTCTTCCTCCTCCTCGTCATAATCGATGAAGTCATCAAGTTCCTCGTCGTACTCATCTTCATGGCTGCGGCGACTCGTTCGTGGGGGCTCAAGAAGCCCACCATGTCTAGGCCGTTGATCACCTCTAGAAGAAGGACCCTTATTTGCCGCGGCTCCAGGACGAGGCCGTGCAGTGCCAGCATAACCGGTCGTTGCAGTTGCAGACTTCTTCACCTTCTTTTCAGCAGCGTCATCTGCCGCAGAGCTCGATTTCAACTTGCTAGCTGTCTTTACCTCCCTTACGGCACCATTTCTTGATACGTCACGTGCTGATGCCCCGGGACGTCCATTATCGCGCCCTATCGTGCCGACAGACCGACTACTTCCGGAATAAGGTGTTCCCGTCTTTCCCTTGGCGCCCGAGACCATGCCAGGTTTCTGCTCTGGCTTCGTGACTTCACGTTCCTTCTTGATCACAGCTTTATCGATAGGTTTGTGCTGGATCATACCAACTTTTCCCATAGTCTCTTGGGCTTTTGCACCACGCGCCATGATCTCCTTGAAAGAACCCCTTTTAGGGGCTTGCGATGGGCCGGACGTGGTCGGAGTAGTAGGCGAAGGTTTCGACGGTGCCACTTTTGCCGTAGCCAGCGCAGATTGGTTGAGCTTTGTCGGGCGAGTAGACGCTTCTGAGGGGCGTTTCTGTTGGGTGCCGTTCGACGAGGGGGCAGGCAATTTTCCATTCGATGTGGAAGCCATGCGTTGCTGACTAGTAGGTGTAGGTGGCTCGTAGCGTCCGTTTGTTGAAGGTGAACTGGTGCGGTGGGGAAGACTCGCGGAATTTGCCGAGGCAAGGCCAGAGGTAACAGCTTTCACTGGTCGGGATATTGAGTATGACCGCTCCACAACACGACCTTGCCCATCACGGGTAACCTTACTAGTTGAGTAAGATCCATCAGATTGTCGCGATTTTGTCAACTTCGTTGATGTTGCGCCGTTTGGGATATCTTCTGCCTTGCGCTTCACTCCTGATGATACGGCTGATTTAGGGGATGAAGTAGACGAGGGCTGCGCTCCTGTGATTTCGGCAAGCAGGTCGCCGATCTGTTGGCGCAACCGTGTTAGAATCAGTCGGGCTAGAACACCTCACCACAGTGAATGTTATACGCACCGGCATTTTGACAGGCTCTACTACGAAGATGAGACGACAGAGGGTATCCGTTCGCGAGCAGAGCCGATGGCCGTCAGAGGTGAGTGTAGTCCTGGGAAGTCATGGGCTGGTGGGCTGTGTTTTTGCGTGACTGTTCTTCCTCCAGGAATTCGATGTAACGTCGGACAAGTAAGGAATGTAGGAAATATAAAGGGCTGCAGACGGCAGCCAATTTACAGCCGTTGAGCACTGGAAGCGAATAGTTGAGATACGGATACGGATGCGG